TAATTTTACAAATATATAGAATCAAAATAAAAACTTCTAACAAATTTGATCGAGTGGTTACTGAGAAATCGTCGCTATGTTTTGGCTTCGGAATTAGATCGGAATGGATCTACAGTGATCTTCAGCCCGGGATTTTCTTGACATAAGGAAACCCAATTTTAATAGATCATCATCTTACATTGTATGTAAAAATTAAAGTTTAATTAGTTTGTATATATTTGGTATTATCGTAATTTACTATACAATTAATTTTAGCTTTAAAAAAATCACATTAATTAATACAATAGCAAATAATTATCATTAGGATTTCATTAAAAAAAAGTTTTTTTTTAATGCAATTTTTATTTATATATAAAAACAATTTGTTGGGTATTATCTTGATTTTGAAAGTTCAAAAAGGTAGTTAAAAAAAAAAAAATTCTCTTGTCACCAAATTGTAACTGGATCAATGTCTATAAAACAATAATCAATGTGTCATCAAAATTATACATATCTATATAAATTTGAAGTTCTAAACATATTATACAATAAACTTTGTTAAAAAAATATTTGTTAAGATATTGTAACAAAAACGGATAAGTGAATGAATAACTAAAATCAAATTTTTGATAATAAAGATTGTTATTTTAATAAGTGTTAAGATCTTTGATATGGTGGATTTACTAAACTCGTCGTACTACAAATAAAAAAATTTTTTTTTTAATAATGATAATCATTATAAACAAATTTTAATAATGGTAAATAAATCTTACAGAACAAATCATAATCTGAAAAAAAAAACATACCTTGAAGCATTCTTAGTGCTTAAAGAATGTAAAAAGGCATTTACATCTGATTTTTTGTTATTACTTTTGCTTTTCTTTTTCTTTATATTGTTAATCGGAACCATGTTCAAAGACTCAATGTCTGATGCCACGGATGTGTCATGTTCAGATGAATCATTGGTTACTTGAACTGCTTATGAGTAATCAAAAAAATGAATTTATTAATATTATTAATATTAAATTAATTATAATAATTATTTATGATTAAATTATCGCGGTTTTCGAAATGGTAGAAATGAGTAAAAAAAAAATTTCTCTAGTATACCTGTATACTACGTATACTCATACTGGATTATCTTAGCACGTTGATTTAAGATCGATGTTTGATTACATACATACGTACTTATTGTTTGAAACAATAAGTAAGCCAAGCATCGATCTTCAATCAAGGTGCTAAGGTAATCTGGTATACAGTATACGGGTATACTCGAAAAAAAATTTTTTTTCCCATTTTCAACCATTTCGAAAAACGCAATAATTATAAAAATTATATTAATTATAAAAATTATTTATGATTAAATTAATTATTATAATTATTTGATTTATGATTAAATTAATTATAATAATTATTTATGATTAAATTAATTATAAAATTTATTTATAATTAAATTAATTATAATAATCACACTTACCAAGAGCATCCTTAAGGTTCTCCACCTTGATAGATGCCTTAGGCAAATCACCAGAACTATCTTCTAAAGACATAAGAAATGGAGTAATAGTTATACGAGGTTTATCATTCTCTAATATTCTGCTTGATCTAATTCGATAACCTTCTTTTTTAACACTTTCAAAACCTTCATCTGGTCTCCATTCAGTCATTAATCTGACTTCTAAATCTTTACCACCAATGTCTATTAATTCTTTATGTTGACAAAGTATTGATACAATTGTTTGTCGATCGAGCCAAACATCAACAGGTTGTAAAGGAGTATTATTTTCATCATGAATTTCATCCTCAAAAGATTTTACAATATTTGTTGTATCATTTATATTGTTTTCAGATGAAATAGCATTTATATAAGTTGACCATTGGTGTTTGTCCATGCGTTCAGCCTGAACCTGTCACGTGAAATAAAAATATATAATTATAATTTTATATATATACTATTATAAACTTATAATATTGTATTAGCTAATAAATTAGATTAAATTGGATTTTAAAAATTACCTTATCAATATATTCATGTAATTTTGGAAGATCCAATACTGAGGCAATATCACGAAAATATAATAAAATAACACTTGCTAATGCTCTTTGCTGAGCAAAACCCTCAAGTGTTTCATCTTTTGCATCTGACTAAAAATATATAAATATATATATCATAATAACACATTATATAATTCATAAATAATTCATATATAATTATATTACCTGTAATTTGAAAACAACTGGAACACCACGAATTATTTGATCAGCTCTAAATCGAACCAGTAAAGCACGTAGTAATGATAATAAAGCCACATGATCAGCAGGCTGAGCAATTTTTAATATTGCATACTGATATAGTGAAACATGAAGAGAATTTAAGAAATAAATGGCTGGTTTGTTAAAGTATGTCAACTATAAAAAAACAATAAATTTAAATATTAATTAAAATTAGTATTAATTAAATAAACAAAAAAATATAATGAAAATAAACCTGTGTCAAATCTGCATCTTTCAATTCTTTTGATATATTGCCATTATCCAAAAATTTTGCAAGAACTTTGGCATATGCAATCCTTACATCTTTATTAAAAAATAATAAAGATTTTAAAAATCTAATTGATATTAACATTATTATGATTATAAATAATACAACATACTTAGATCTTCATCTACACACAAATCAATTGAACTATGAAATACTTCTACAGGAACTTCACTTCTCGTAATTTCAGAATGTCTTATCTCAGTTTCCTTACTATTTCTTACAACTATGTCTAAACATTTCAATAATGTTTTACGTAATTCAGATAATGGAACACCTTCTATAATTGAACTTTGGCTACTTCCTTGTTGAGAGAGTTCAGTTTGCTCAGGATGTATATGTAAATGTTGAATAATATATTCAATGATATCACAGACTTGATTTGCATAGTAAATATGAGTTGCCAAACCACCTAATAAAAAAAAAAGATTTAATAAAATTTTAAAATGTTTGAAGCATTAAGAAGCATTAAAATAAATATTATTGAGATAATAACCAATGCAAAAGATAAGTTGTTGACAAATTATTAAATTAGAATCATTAGAGTCAGCAGCATTTTCAAAATAATTAATGGAATCACAATTTTTCAAAGAACTTAACAATAAATGAAGTAAACAATCTAAAACTTCAAGTATTGAAAGTCCAACAAGAGGAATATCACCAGTTAATATGAAAGATAAAGTTTTAACCAGAGAAACCTTTTTTGGAGTAGAGGTTGGCCCAGATGGTAAAGCTTCTAGTTGTTGTATTATATAATCAACTAGTATGTGCCTGCATTGTAGCTAATAAACCAAATTGAAAAGATATTATAAATGGTACAAAATAGAATAGTTTATAATTTAAAAAAAAATACACATCAGGAAATTTTTTAAATAGGGTGGATATCGATTACCAGCTGCAGAGGCGATTGCCATCGATTAGAAAAATCGATAATAATCGACATTGGTAGATAATCGATTACAAAAACAATCGATTTTAGTATAATTTTGATATCAATCGATTTCAATCAAAGCGAATCTAATCAATTTTAATTAGCAGCTTTGTTGTCAATCGATTCTAATCAGTATCGCTGGTAATCGGCAGGGGTGCTACT